TGCCAATATGACTGTTGAGGAATATGCGCAGAGTAACCCTTGAGTAGCAAGGGTATGCACATGAGAAACGGCTGTGAGTGATTGTGAATAAGCACTGTCAATATACAGACACACTGAGTTGTGATATTCTTTTACTTTTAGGAAAAAGTAAAGCAAAGGCCAATAAACAATCCAGGTCATACACAGATAAAGATAGTTAAAATGTCAATCCAGGGATATTCCAAGAACAAAGTCTTCTTACCAGTTGTTGTAGTCATATGCAATAAAACAGTTCTTTTTGGAGTTGCAAACAGGAACAAGTACAGCAGTAGAACAATCAGTAAAACAGTAGAAAAACAACAAGTAGCAATGATCAAGCAGTGATCATGCAGAGAGAACAGAGGTAGCAATAATAATGTAATAAGAACAATAAGCCATGATTCAAGCTTCCTCTTAAGTACGTTGGCTACAGAGCTAGCCAATCAGAATACAGTATGATGCAATACAGCATTACAGTCTTAAAGCTATGCAATACATTTTGACTGTAAACATGCATTGATGGTTTATATATATTGCCAACCCAACCAGTTAGGCAATAGCCATTTCCTAACAATGACATCTCTAATAAAAGGGAACTTTGAGGAACTTCTAACCTCGGAGTCTTCTTTCGTTGGGGGTGTTACTTGGAAGACCTGGAGGTGAGGCCGGCCCCCCACTCTCTTGGCCTCTGAAAAGGGGTTAACATATGCTCCGTGCCCTTGCTTGGGGCACATAGAGGAGCAGCACCCAGCCGTGGGGCTGGTTAGCCCCTTGAGAGCCCTCTCTTTGCCTTTTTAACCCATTTTTAACGGCGTTTAATCATCCTTGCCTCCTCCTAAATTTTAAATTTTCTCAGTTTTAAACTCTCACGTGCCGTTTTTACATTTGACCTTTTTTATTGTACAAGCACCCAAGAGTCCCTTGAAAATTAAAAATAAATAAAAATCACGAGTTAGACTTGAATTTAGAGGCCTGATAAACTTCCCCAGATGGGCTATTTCCAAATCCGGGAGAAAAATAAGATAATACTCGTGAGATACTTTGAAATGTTTAAAACGGAGAGATACGACACTTTTAATTCTTTTCATACTGTACCGTTCTACCATTTTGTAAAGTAGCCGGGAGCAATTCAGAGCATCGAAATCGTAGATTTCTCTTTAAAATGGACTGGAGTTCATTAAAAAATGCAGTTTTCACTTCGTTGCCAGGGTTGAACTTTGGAAGGACCGCATCCTCAATGGACACTTGTAGATCAAATCTTGATACTCCCCGTGTAAACTCTCCGCTTTTTTTAATGTTGCTTTGTGACACCGAAGGCTGAGAATCTATTAGGGAGAAGAAGAGCGACAGATTGCACCGCTATTTAATTTCCATTTGGTTAAGAATTGATTTTAAAAAGCCACAGCCAACAAAGATGGCCTATCAAATATCACGAATCTATGAGCAAAGCCACCCTTTGGGCCTCAGGCCAATCACTTAACAGACAAACGACCTTCCGACAATAAAACATCAACCTACAAATGTTGGCTTTTATTGGCTGTTTATTTACGATTACGCTCTTTTCACAGATATGATAACTGACTGCCCTGGCCATTGACTTCCTCCAGGGGTGGGTTCTAAATTTTTTTACTACTGGTTCTGTGGGCGTGGCTTATTTTGTGGGCATGGCTTGATGGTCATGTGACAATTCTTTAGGATTTAGCAGAGGTACTGGTCTACCAGACTTTTAACTGCTTGCAGAGCTGTACCGGTCTACTCATTTATTTTTGCAGGCACTGGTCTACTCATTTGTTTTTGGAGGCATTGGTCTACCCATTTATTTTTGCAGGCACCAGTCTATTCATTTGTTTTCTTTTACCACTGATCAGCTGTAGGGCGGCCCTTTGAAGCCCTGCGGCAAGAGTTTAAACAGTTTTTGTCCCTCTAGCTGATCAGCTGGGACTCAGGAGGGAGCAATAGATTGGGGGTGGGGCCAAATAAAAGGTAAGAATAACGCAGGGGGGTGGGTGGGGGGCCAGAACCGGTTCGGTGATGTCATATTGTCACCGCTACCGGCTCGGGAGAACTGGGCCGAACCGGGAGGAACCCACCACTGACTTCCTCCCAAGCCATCAAGATCAGGGGAAGTGACAGTACCACTTTTACACCCCACTAGTAAAGCCACACTTGCATCCGTTCTGGTCACCACAATACCAAAAAAAAAAAAAAAAATGTTGATACTTTGGAACAGAGGTGTCAAACTCAAGGCATGCGGGCCAGATCTGGCTCGCGGGGCCAGATCTAGCCAGATCTGGCTCGCGGGGTGCTTAGATCTGGCCCACAGGGCTGGCAGACCAGCTTGCGGTGCCTCTGCTAGAAAAAATGGAGCTGGGGGGTGTGTGTTGCACACAGCCCCCCTGTGCCCCGTTTTCGGCCATGACGGCCTCCCGCATCCCTTTGCCTTTTGCTAGACCCCTTATGCAGAGGTCTAGCAAAACAAAAGGAGAAATGTTTCCCCTAGCTCAGATCAAACTAGTTTGATTGCTGGATTCCATTAAAAACAGGAGATCCACTGAGGTTCCCCATTGGTGATCGTTAGCCTTTTCCCTGCAAATGTTTGGCCTTAGCCAGAATATTTTTGGAGGTGCTTTTATGTGTGTGTCAGGGTGTATGTTATAAGTCATCCTTTGTTGTGATTATACATCTTGCAAAATAATTATATCACTGTGTTGGACTGGATGGATGCGTCTTTTCCTGTTAGCCAGCCATAACATTGGCCAAAAATATAATGTCTAATTTGACGGAGGCTTAAGGAAAAAAAAACACTTAATATTAGATTTCTGGATTAGGTATAACAATTAAGAATTAAGAACAAGTAAGAGCAATTCAATGAATATTTATGACCTCAGTGAATACTCAATTTAATCAACAATACCACAGCTGTCTCAGTGGCACATTAGATTCGACCTCAGTTGGATTGCCGAGTGGATAGTGGTGTTTTTCACACAACACAATGTCACATCAACTGCATATACAGTAGTGGCCAAAATTGTAGAAACCTTTTGGGAAAAGTTGTATTTTTGAGGTTTGATGGCTAATAACATCACTTTTTTTTGGAGTTTCAAGATAATCCTATTCCACTGCTGAAATGGCCTGGGAATAGCCCAGACTTTAACCCAATTGAAAATCTAGGGAGCCGACTAAAGAAACCTTGTTAGTCAGAAGCGACCCAGCGATAAAACCCAGTTAATAGAAGCCATCATTCAATCTCGGTTTCACATGATAACAGCTGCCAACTAAAAGTTCACTCCATGGGAAGACATTGTAAGGCCGCCATTCATGCTAAAGGTTACCCAACGAAGGATTAACTGATATGGGGATCATTTTTGTATATCTCGTTTTTTCTATGGTTATCATTTTTTTATATCTCATTTTTTCTACGTGTTTCACTTTTCTTCTTTATGCTGTAACTGCTATTCTAATAGCAAATCCTTCGTAAAAGTGATTGCATTACGTTCTTGATTAAATTATCTTTCCATTGATATATAATTTCATGGTACTACTTCAAAAAAAAAAGTGCTGTTATTAGCTAGTTTTAGGAAATACACTTCTCCCAAAAGGTTTCCACAATTTTGGCCACTACTGTACAAGGGCAATTTCACAGTGCTGTAAGAAAGTGGGGTTTTGCCCTGATGATGTTTGCTATTTGATTAAAGAAATTTCTGCAAGAAAACAGCCAAGCTCAGGGAGCACCAAGGACCCCACAAGAGATCAACACTCCCACCCTCACTGATAGGCCAAACCACTTGTATGTAAACAGTGAGCGAACCCCACTGCCTTTTAGCACTGATGATGTTACCTAGTTGGGTCATGAAACGTCTGCAAGAAAACAACCAAGCTCAGAAAGCACTAAGGATCCAATAGAACAGGTTCAGTAAAAAAAAAAAAAAATTTTAAAAGTCCAGATTAGAGATCATTCACCATGGAGAAAATCTATTTTTATATGGTCAGTAAGAATTGACATCGACTTGAAGGAGAGCTTGTGCTGGTGTCAGATTTATCCTTTGGACAAGTGTGTGTTAGCAAGATCTACTGGGGAAATTGGTGAGTTCTGCTTTTGTAAAAAAAAAAACAAAGCTGACTATGGTGATTTCATGGCAACATGAAATGCTACCCATTCATGTTTGACCCCACTTTGTGTTTTTATCACACCGAATTCTGATTCCAGTGGAAGATGCCTGAGTTGGTTGGAAGGAGGCCCTTTGCTAGCTGATATTATTTTCCTTGTGCCCAATGATCTTTATGGGGTCACTCCTTACTTGTATGGCTTAAGAAAGGAATACTTGGTTTGATTGATTGTTTGTTTGTTTATTATATTTGCATCCCATCTTTATTATTTGTACAAATAACTCAAGGCGGCAAAGATATCTAACATTCCTTCTTCCTCTTATTTCCCTACTGCAAAAAATCTGTGAGGTGGGTTAGGCTGAGAGAAAAAGATTGGCTCAAAGTCACCCAGCTGGCTTTCATGCCTAAGGTGGGACTAGAACTCACCATCTCCTGGTGATTGGCTGAAAGTCACCCAGCTGGCTTTCATGCCTAAGGTGGGACTAGAACTCACCGCCTCCTGGTGATTGGCTCAAAGTCACCCAGCTGGCTTTCATGCCTAAGGCGGGACTAGAACTCACTGTCTCCTGGTGATTGGCTCAAAGTCAACCAGCTGGCTTTCATGCCTAAGGCGGGACTAGAACTCACCATCTCCTGGTGATTGGCTCAAAGTCACCCAGCTGGCTTTCATGCCTAAGGCGGGACTAGAACTCACCATCTCCTGGTGATTGGCTGAAAGTCACCCAGCTGATTTTCATGCCTAAGGCGGGACTAGAACTCACACTTTCTAGCCTGGTGCCTGAACCCGTAGACTAGAGGAATTCTTGGGCTTCCAATGACATAGAATCAAATGTAAATTGCGCTGCTCACCTTCCATTTTCTGTGCTATTACGCAGGTGCTGGTGAGCGAGGACTCCGATAGCGACGGCATCGTAGCTCACTTCCCGGCCCACGAGAAGCCCATTTGCTGCATGGCTTTCAACCCCAGCGGTAAGCATTAATTTCTGGTGGTGCATTATGGATCCTTTCACTTGCTAGAAATCAGGCTGAAATCTTTCCTGAAGTTTTATTTGTCTGCCAGCTGAAATAGTGGTTGAAAACAGTAAATTGGCAGCAGCGCAACCTAATTTTGTCTCTTGATATTTTGCTTTCTGGCTTGCTTTGATTCTGAACTACACAACCCATATTTCTTATCGGATCTACTCTGACCATCTGCTACAACTTCGACCATCCTGACCCCCCCCCCCACAATCCTTTTAACTGCAGATAGTCCTCGATTTAGGACCATAAACTGAGCCCCAAATTTCTGTTGCTAAGTGAGACAGTTAAGTGAGCTTTGCCCCATTTTACGACCTTTCTTGCCACAGTTGTTAAGTGAAACACTGCAGTGGTTAAGTTTAGTAACACAGCAGTCCCAACAGGCAGCTGGACTATTTGTTGTTTTTTCATTAAAGAGGTTTTGCTTCTCATCCAAGAAGCTCCTTCAGTTCTGACTTCAGTTCTGACCGTTGAGAAGGGAATCTGGCTTCCCCATGGACCTTGCTCGTCAGAAGGTCGCAAAAGGTAGTCACATGACCCTGGGACAGTGCATCCGTCCTTAATACATGCCAAGCATGTGGATTTTGATCACGTGACCACAGGGATGCTGCAACGGTCATTGGTGTGAAAAATGATCATAAGTCACTTTTTTCAACGCTGTTGTGATTTTAAATGGTCACTAAACAAATGCTTGCAAATCTGGGATTACCTGTACATTGCAAACATTGGAAAAGGGTGGGTACCTGCTTAGTCTGGGAAGACACACGTTTTGCATGTCAAGAAGTGGGCCTGGCTAGTCTAGTGAAGAGAAGGACCAGGGGAGACAGGATAGCAGCCTTCTAATATTTGAGGGGCTGCCACAAAGAAGCGGAAGAGGGTCAAGCTATTCTCCAAAGCACCTGAAGGCCAGGCAAGGAATAATGGATGGAAACTGACCAAGGAGAGATTCAGCCTGGAAATAAGAAGAAATTTTCTGACAGTGAGAAACAATCAACCAATGGAACAGAAGTTGCCTTCAGAAGTTGGGAGCTTCATCACTGGAAGCTTTCAAGAAGAGACTGGGCTGCCATCTGTCAGAAACAGGGCCATGATGGTGAACCTAGCGTAGGCATATCAGTGGAGCTCCTCCAGAGGCCAGAAACAACCCATTTACCAACTTCCAGTGGGACCGGAAGGCCCGTTTTTTGCTGTCCCCAGCCTCCAGACAGAGCCTCTCTAGGGTGAAAACGGCCTTCCTCACCCCCCCGCCCCGGAGGTCCTCCAGAGGCTGAAAATGGCCCGTTTGCCAACGTCCGGTCCCACTTCCTGTCTCACCGGAAGTTGGCAAATGGGCCGTTTCTAGCCTCTGGAGGGACTCCAGAGTGGGTGGGGAAGGCTGTTTTCACCCTCCCCAGACTGCTAGAGAGGCTCTGGAGGCAGGTGAGAGAGAAAAACGGGCCTACCGGGCCATCATGTGCCAGGAGCGTGGGGAGTGCGGGAGGCGGTCACGTGTGCAGGGGCAGGGCACATAGAATTATGGGTGTGGGCATGCGTGCGTGCAACCTCCCCCCCCTCCTGGCATGGGATGGCAAAAAAGTTAGCCATCATTGGTGAGGGCAGGGGGTTGGACTAGATGACCTACAATAGGGGTGTCACTCAATTTCATTGAGGGCTGCATCAGGGTTGTGTTTGACCTTGGGGGCCGGGGTGAGCGTGGCCAGCTTGACACCACTTGTCTGGGGGGGGGGGGGGGCTGTCGCCAGAGTGCTCTGCCAGAGAAAACGGGCTCCCAAGCTGCGTTTTCGGCTGGGATGCCTCCTGCAACCCTCTGCCAGCAAAAAAGGGAGCTCGGGAGGGCCGCGTTTTTACTGGCAGAGGCATCGCGGGCCAGTCCTTCGCTATTTCCGGGGCTCCCCCGCGGGCGGGATTTAAGCAGCCCGCAGGCCAGATCTGGCCCCCCAGGCCTTGAGTTTGACACCCCTGACCTACAAGGCCCCTTCCAACTGTTTAATCTAAAAAAAAAAAAAAATTAATATGTAAGTCAATATATCAGAAGGTATGTTGTTGAAAGCTCATATATTGGGAGCCTGATCTGATGAGTTAAGAGTTTACGTAAATGTGACGCTGAGTCTTGACCAAGGCTATTAAGCAAGAGAAAGGGAATGATCCTTCTGATGGGCACCCATTTTCTGAAACCACATTTAGAGAGCTGCAGCATTAAATGTACACTGGGTCAAGATGTCACCGCCAATAAACGTAGGAAATGGGCATGAATGTCTTTGAAAAGTCAGGTAATTGAAGGTTCCTCTTCTCTGTCATTTCCCATTGGAAGAACAACGCCCCTGCCTCCCTTGGAAAGTTCACTTGATTTCTTGAGGTTTGCAGAAATATTCTCCTAAATTTAATACCACTTATCCTTTTCCACTTAAAGCTTAACCTGGAGATGTAGCTCAGCTGGCTTTTCTACTCCAATTTTTCCCAGGTGGGAGTGAGGGGAAGTGGTCTTTGAAGCCTCAATGACAGTCATCTCTTCTCTTCTCTTCTCTTCTCTTCTCTTCTCTTCTCTTCTCTTCTCTTCTCTTCTCTTCTCTTCACCATCCTCTGGAGTCCATTTAAGCTCACACCGACTGCTTTGTGACTCTATCCATCCATCTTATCTCTGCTGTCCCCTTCTTCTTTTGCCTCAATAGTTCCCAGCAGCATTAGGCTCTTCTCCAGTGAGTCCTTCCTTCTCATTAGGTGGTCAAAATATTTGAGTTTCCTCTTCAGGATCTGTACTTCTGAAGAGCAGTCAGGTTTGATCTCCTCTAGGACTGACCGGTTTTGATCGCCTTGCAGTCCAAAGGACTCGCAGGAGTCTTCTCCAGCACCATAGTTCAAAGGCCTCCATTATCAAAGGCATATATATCATATTTGCCTTTGATAATTGAGGCCTTTGAACTATGTGCTGGAAAGACTCATGCGAGTCTTTGACTGCAAGGCGATCAAACCGTCAGTCCTAGAGGAGATCAACCCTGACTGCTCTTCAGAAGTAACAGATCCTGAAGAGGAAACTCAAATATTTTGACCACCTAATGAAGAGGAAGGACTCACTGGAGAAGAGCCTAATGCTGGGAACTATTGAGGGCAAAAGAAGAAGGGGACAGCAGAGAATAAGTGATGGATAGAGTCACCAAAGCATCGGTGTGAGCTTAAATGGACTCCAGAGGATGGTAGAGGACAGGAAGGCCTGGAGGAACGTTGTCCATGGGTGGCGATGGGTCGGACACGACTTCGCAACTAACACAACAAATCATATATGCATATCTACAAACAATAATCATCATCATCATTTAAGGACCCCAGAACCCCTTGCTGGGTGGAGTCTGGGCAACAGAATGGAACTAGCAGAGCGTTTAATGGACGGATGCTCTTCCTGTCACCAATGTGGAGCTTTGTTCAGCAGATATATTCTCACTGTGCCCAGAGAGAGAAATATCTGCCTCTACCTAGGATCAAACTCACAGCCTCCTGATTGTGAGGCAAGAGCTCCACCTCTAGGCCGCCGCACCACTCTATATCTACAAACAATAATAAAAAAATAAATAAAATGACAATCCAAACAGCAGTAATATTATCATTCAACTAGGTTCCAGCATACCATAATTCAAAGGTCTGGAATAGAAGAATAGTGTTGGCAGTCTTTATAAATGCCAGTGTTGTGGCCCCGCCCTCTGAGCCTATTTCATCGGAGAAAAAGTTCCGAACATGAGGAAGACGAGTCAGCCAGGCCTCCCTCTCCAGGCCCCCTCCCCTCTGGCACTGTCTCAGGTGCCGGCCGAGGGAGAGGAGATTAGCCAGGAGCCAGGTGTCTCGGATGAGAACGAAGGAGAGCCGTCATTCCTGGATGCACGCCAACGAAGGCATGATAAAATGTTGCAGCAGTTAAGGAGGCGTGCTAGGGATTAGAACTGAGTCACTGGACCACACCCCAGAGACTATATAAGAGAGGGTGGTGGCTGGTAAAACTCCGTGACGAACAAAAACTAACTTTGGCTAGTCACTTGAACAACGTCTGAAGCTGCCGAAAGGATATTGTTTTGCTGGACTATTTGCAATGCGTATGTAATTTTTATGTTATCTGTTGCAGTAAAAGCTCTTGCAGACGGTGATTATATTGCTGCCAAGTTTGAGATAACGACCTGTGTGCGTGCCAAGTACTTTTCTTAACCCTCGGCTGGCTGTGTTTGTGTGTGTGTGTGGACGGGGACAGATCAACCAGCAGGGTTGGGGCCAACTATACAGTATGTCAAGGTTATGCACTGTTTCAGAACTTAAAGGAGATCCACCAATGTCAATCTGATTAAAATATCCGCATCTATTTTCAGGATCATAAATGAAAAGCACTGCATGACCCCACCATCTAATTTTCCTCATCCCCAGCATGCAATGAACCACCAAATGATATATATAACAATAGAAAGACTTGTAGCATTCTAAGGATATATGCCATTTTTGGAACAGTAATAGTAGGTGTCCTAAACATCTATAACCTCTCCAAACCCCTTTGACACATATAAAATTAACACGCCAGCAAGATTATATGCATTTGGGTTTTGTGGTTAATCCTAATACTATCTGGATGTAGTAAGGTGTAAGCTGTTCAGGGACGGCTGTGATTGGAGTGGCATATAACCCAAATAAATAAATAAATCTTACCTTTCCTTCAAGAGCAACAATTACAAAGCACTCCCTTCCATTCTTTTTACCAGAATCACAGTTCTTTGGACTGGCCCCACAGATGAGGATTACACTTTAATGTGAGATAACTTGACTTCTTCCTTCCTTGCTTGCTTCTTTACTCCTTCACTAAGCTACTCGATAGTACACATAGAAGTTCAGCAACATCATGGATTTTTATGCCAGTAAATCCTGTTCCTTTTAATGGAGGAATTCAAATTTTAGCATCATATACAGTGGTGGGTTGCTACCAG